ATGATATTTAATGAAATAGAGGACTTCCAGGCATTCACGATGAAAAGACCAGACTTTAGGAAAGCCCCTGGCAAGCTAAGGAGGATTATCAGGTTGATGAAATCCTTGAGTTCTTGCCCTCTAAGGATAATCTGAAAGAAATGGGAATATTTACCCTGGAAAAGAGAAGAATTAAGGGCATATGATAGCTGTCTTCAAGTATCTGAAAGGCTGTTTTGTAGGAGATTAAGACTCAATCAGATTAACCCCTGAGAGTGGAAATAGAAGACATGTGTGGAAGTTGCAAAGTGGCAAATCTAGGCTTGATGTCAGGAAAATGGATATTGAGGAGACGTATTCTTGTTCAGGCACATTGGACTAGATATCCTCTGAGGCCCTTCCAACTTAGAGATTTGGTAGTGATTGTATGACTCCCAATTCTCTCCAGTCCTGACCACACACCTGTGCGACAATCTAGGATTTCCAATTTCTGACTAAGCACTGGAAATATAGAAGCATAGGCTGGGAGGCTGTACTAAAAGACTATTGGTTTCACATCCAACTCTAAGATTTCTATGATTCTTAATGCTCTGCTGTCACATCAAATCACGATGTGTAAAATTAAACTCCATCTATCCTTTGACCCTGTTCCCTTCAAGAAAACATTCATAAACATTGATTTCGCATCCTCTATGTGCAAGACCCTATTGCTAGTATTCATGATTCAAAAAGTCAGGGTTGAAATCATGTCTCAGATACTTAAAATCTATGTGATCATGAGCAAAACATCTCACATCTCTGAGCATCAGTTTCCTCACCTCTAAATCCAGATAATAATAGCACACACCTCACAGGGTTTTGATGAGAATCTTGATGATTGGTAGTATAATATGTAATACTTTCTATGCTTCTGGAATACTCTTATTTTTGAAACATCTCGAAAATAAACTGAGTTACCTTTAAATTTACGTCAATTTATCTGTACTAGACACTCTATCTCATGGCTCTAGGGTTGTTGTGAGGATAAAATGAGATATTTGTAAAGTAGTTTGAAAACCTTAAAACACTCCTTAAGTGCTAGCTGTTGTCATTATTATTGCTGTTGTTATTACTAGGAGACCACAGGGAGAAAAAGAGTATTTTCAACTCCATAGATGTTGACTATGAAGCATAATTCAAGGAGATAATGCTAAGGAGAGCAGGAGCTGAGAATCTGTCCATCACAGGAGAAGGAATAAACATTGTCTAGGGGGACACACATTCTAGGGTCCTGTTAACAAAGCATTAAGTCCAAACCCTTACCAAGTCTGACTTCTCCAAGGTTGGAACTCTCGGATAGCTCTGCAATCCTAGTGACTGAGAAAGAATTAGGCCCCTGTGGTCTGGGCGAAGAAGGTGATGGACCAGTTAGGTAATAAAAAAAATCGAGAAAGAAGATAGATGGCCCAGGTGCTACACAGGTGACCTCAAGGTATCCTAAGAATGAAGGGGAAGACATCTAACATTTTGGACATCTTCCTTCGGGAGGATTTAGGAAAAGAGTCCCACGGGGTAAGACAACAGATTTAGAGTGTGAAGGTGTGGTTTCAAATCTCACCTCCATCAGTTACTACCTGTGTGACCTCACCTTTCCAGGCCTCAGTTTCCTCATCATCAAAATAAGGGGACTAATCTAGAGGGCCTCTTTGGTCCCTCCTTTACAGCTCAAAATCCATGATACATGATCTATGACATCATTGAGGGATTGTGATCTGAATTGGAAGAGATCCATATTTATGAATCATGTTTTTCCTTATCTATCTCCGTATCAAAACTTATCTATCCTGTGTCCTTTTATCAGAACTCAATTCATAAACTAGTCTATGTGCTAATATTAGTCTATGTAGGAATATATATATTTTATATATGTGTAATATATAATACATATTACCCTACTAGATGATGTATTTCAATTTGCATAGGAACTTTGTGAAATAAAATGCCATATCCCAAAGGTTGACTAATAGTAATTTCTAATACTATTATAGATAGTAAAGGAGATATTGGCAACAGGTGAGGACAGTGATAAGCAGGTAGGTGGTACAGTAGATAGAGTGCTGGGCCTGGAGTCAGAAAGACTCTTCCTGAGTTCAAATCTGTCCTCAGATACTTATTAGTTGTGTGACCCTGGGCAAGTCACTTAACCCTGTTTGCCTCAGTTTCACCATGTGTAAAATGAGCTGGAGAAGGAAATGATGAACGATTCCAGTATCTTTGCCAAGAACACCCCACATGGGGTCACAAAGAGTCAGACAGGACTGAAAAAAGACAGAATAACAAGAAGACTGTGAAGTCCCTCAAATCATACCACCATAGTGGCTCTTAATTCAATCTACAGAAATGGTTTTAATGCTATATGTAAAAATCTCAAGGGAGAACATCTATAATGGATTGAATTACAGGAAATGGCAAGGGAGAGCTGGTGCTGTAGTTATCATAAAAACATCACTAAATAGACTCTCCATATGTTCAGGAAGGAAAAACCAGAAAACTGGATTTTTATTGTCATAGGTGTGGACGTTTTAAAAGAAGACTGCTAAAATAAAGAAAAGTATTTCAGAGACAGATTAACTGCGGATACACATGATGAATGTGCCACTAAGGGTGTGATCAAACAGCTCTATAAATAATTGATTCAATTGAACAAATGTTTGTTAACCCCGTGGTTATGGGAAAGATAAAAAAAGATTGAGCCACCACCCTGCCCTATAGGAGTATGCAGATCAGCAGGCAAGATAAAACATGAAATGACAATGATCTTGGGCCCCTGGTGCCCTACAGAAGAGCTACAGAGTTCTATGGTAACACAGAAGAAATAAGAAATGACCTAGGTGTGGTCAGGAGAAGAACAGATCAGGAGAGGTTTTGTAAAGGGCAATAGCACTAGAACACAGGTCCTTGAGGGACTGCCAGGAAAAGCTGGGGGAGGGAAAGGCATTGTAGGCAGAGGGAACAGTATGAGTAAAAGCAAAGAAATAATTAAAAAAATAAAAAGAGAGCAGAGTGTGTATTTGGGTGAATAAACTAGATGATTGGATTGGGCATAGAGGGAGATGAAATGGGAAAAAAATAATAATGATAATAGGTTCTGTGCCAGGCACTGTGCTAAGAACATTACAAATATTATCTTATTTGATCCTCACAACAGTCCTGCAAGGCAGGTTCTATTAGTATCCTTTTTTACAGATGAGGAAACTGAGTCAAACAGAGGAGTGGCTTGACCAGGGTTACACAGCTAGTAAAGGTCTGAGGCTGGATTTAAATTGACAAGCTTTGAGCAGGGTGATTGACATACCGCATCAAATATTACACTCACAGGAATACCGAAGATGCATTGGAATTGAGAGAAAATGAGGATGAAGATCACTTAGAAAGTTATTGTGGATGGGAAGGAGGAAAGAAGTGAGTAAGATTTTTGCAGAGATAGACTCAACAAAACTATTAGACATGAGCAGGGGGAGAAGTAGAGGAGAGGATAAGGAAGATGAAGGAAAGGGATGGACAGGTTCATCTTGATATATAATACCTGGCTTCTTTTACAAGTTGAATTATGGGAAAAAAAATCACTACAGTCTCCATGAAGATAAGATTTAGCCCGAACCCTTAAAATACCTATCATGGTAACATTAACTTTAAAAGCACAGATCTCTGTAAATGAATGTCCTCAAAGCTAACACAGAAACCATTATTTATTCATATATCAAATGGATTTTTAAAGTACTAGTAGGGAGGAAACCGCTACTTAATCTCACCTGAGTTTCTTAGTTTAGATTTTAATACAACCCTAGTCACTGACTTAATTAAAAGGCTTGTTTTTTAAAGTAACAGCTGCTATCCTGTGATAGGCAAAGTACGAGCGTGTCTATTTAACAAAAAGCCGTGTGAGACATCTGCTGTCTAGCAAGAATCTTTCAAAGCATGTTGGAAAAAAAATACAGAAATGGCATCGGGGGCTCAACCCCAGCATTTGACATGCTTTGTAGGATCCCCATTAAAGGCTAGGTACTTAAGCTTGTAGCTTTAACTTTGTGGGCAGGTAGGCCTACGCTACGCCTTGTGCCTCACGACTAAAGCAGTGACTGGTAAAAACAATCATAAACCTCATAGGTCTACAAGGTCTTTCCAGATATTAAAAGGAACAACTTAACGAGCAGTTACATGAGATCAGAAGACCCAGTTAGCCTTCCTTCCTCTGTTCCGCACAAGCCCTCACTGAAACCTGACTTCAGGTCCTTGCGAAAGAGTCCCGTCAGCAAGGTTTCTTCTCTCCTGCCTGTACTGATGGCAGAAATAGTTTGCATCCAAGAGCACACACCTTCATTAGGTGTTGAGGATAGCTCAGGACTATTTTGAGGAATTAGAGGAGGGATTAAAATTCACTTATTGGCAATTTGGAAGTCAACCAACCAAACATATATTTGTGTTGCTTGTAATCTTCAAGGGTTAATTTCTATAGTATATTTCTTTGGCTCACAGTTTCAGGTTAATGTGTTGTTTTTTAATTAATTTCAATTTCTAAAACAAGCCTGAAAGTTGTGGTATAGTGGGAAGAGTACTGGATTTAGAGGAAGATATTGCAGGTTCAAATCCTGGTTTTTGTCCCTTATGATCGGTAAGGGCAATCTGGGACCTCAGTTTCCCCAATTATAAAATGAAGGGATTTGACCCAATAACCTCTGAGGAACTCAAATCCATAGTTTTATGGTCTAGGACCCTAAAATGGAGTTTTCTACTTGTTACATTCTTCTAGAAAGCTACCTTTCCCTAATGCAGAGTTTACTGTATATGCTCATGTGAACCCATTTCAGAGCTTTGATTCATAGAATCTGCTAAGCCATAGAAATTGCTTTTCACAGGAGAAAACAATGTATGCACTCTCATCTACAGACAGGCAGATCAACCGGAAACACTATTATTTCCCCCTTCAAAAGGGAAATAAACTTTTATTGACGTGTTTAGTTAGGCCTGGGTGTGTTTATTACCTGAGGATGGGAGAACAATAATCCTGTCTCTTCATGCTTAACAATGGCCGCGTTGCCAGGAATGTTTCTTACCAACACAGGAACTTCCAGGTCCATTGCCTAAAGAATGTAAAGAGGAAAAGAAGACAGGTGGGCTGATAGTAATCATTTTAAGGACTGTTTTTGGAGAGAAGAACCTAATTTGCAAAAGCACTGCCTCCTGTTGACTGGTCTCCAGAACTTCATGAGAATGCAGCCTTGAGGAAAGTTCAGACATTTCTGCCTGTCACATGTTTGAAAAACACCTGAATTTTTAATCGCTGTAAGCGGATTTGGAAACCTGGAAAGCTCAGAGATGAGAACAGCGTTCTGGGCACAATTACTGCTATGACACTGAGAAAACCCACCTCTCAGAGGTTACATTTTATACTGATTCACCGACAGGTGGGAGAATACATTTTTAATTAACATCATTGCTTTCCCTGATGAGTAATCTTCTTCCAGTACAAGTGGGCTGGGCGCCGTTGAGGACTGAACGCATTTCTTTGGCAGGCAGACAGGACGAAGAAGGGACCAGAAAGATCACAGATTGTGAACTGAGCATGCCTTCCCTTTCTAAGAATGATAGGTGGAATCAGGTAGAAAGGGCTGGATCAATATGTCAAGAACATTCTGAAAAAGGGGTACCTAAAACAGACTATCGAAGGAGTTGATGGGCTGACCCAGCCTTACTCAAGCAAAGGGAAGCAGTAGAGAGAGCACTGGATTTGTAATGAAAGGGCCTGGGCTCGAATGCTGATTCTGTTCCTTACTACCTTTGGGCAAGACATGTCATTTCTCTAGGCTTCAATTTCTTCATCTATAAAATGGGGATAATAAGATCTCTAGAGCAGCTAGATGGCACAGTGATAGAACACTGGGCATGCAGTCAGGAAGATTCCTCTTTGGGAGTTCAAATAGCCTCAGACTCTTACTAGCTATGTGACTCTGGGCAAGTCACTTATTTTCGTTTCCCTCAGTTTCCTCATCTGTAAAATCAGATGAAGAAATAAATGGCAAACCACTCCAGTATCTTTGCCAAGAAAACCCCAAATGGGGTCACGAAGAGTCAGATACGACTGAAAGACAATTGAACAAATAAGATCTCTAATACCTAGCTCACAGAAGGATGGGAAGAAGGAAGGAAACCACCAGCATTTATTAAGTGCCTACTGTGGGCCTGGCACCATGCTAAATGCTTTACAATTTGATCCTCATAACAGCCCTGGGAGATTGGTACTATTATTATCTTCATTTTATAGTTGAAGAAACTGAGGCAGACAGAGCTTAAGTGTGCGTGTATGTGTGCGTAGAGACACACACACACACACACATACACACATGCACACACACACACAGAAAAACACAAATGAGCTAAAATGCATAAAATTCTTTTGCAATCCTTAAAAGTGCTACACAGAGACCAGCAATGATTATTTCCAGAAAAAATAGCTAACCCCTTCTGTTTACCTGGTGTCAGGGAATGCTTTGTAGGCAAGCAGCCATATTCTATCAGGCTTTTGCTGGCCAGTGATTTAGGGAATATGGCTAAATTAAGTGGCTCGCTTGGCGTCTTGAATGAGGACCTTTGTTCTGCCAATGACACATGATATCAGTAACTCCATGTAATAATAAGCTCTTATAATGGTGCTGTAATTTGTTTCCAGAGATGACCAGCCTTATAATCCTAATATACAAATTCCATTAGTGGATAATTTTAAAATCCCAATTTCTCATAGGACAATGGCTCTACATTGAATGGTCCCTTTAGACTATGGCTGTGACCCAAAAGAATCTACTTATTTGCTAGAATTTGGCAGAAGGGAGTAATGCCTATGGTGGGAGAATCTGGGTATATAGACCATAAATATCAATTGGCAATGAAATAGTGTTCCCCCAATTTTCATTGCTTGTTAGTCAAAGGTTAAGCTTTTTATGACCCACGACCTCACCTTTTCTATGCCTGACCTTGTATCACCCATCTTCACAGCTTATAGCTCGTATGGTCTGATTAGACCACATCTGAGCTAGCAATGGTTGAATGTTCTTTAGGGGCAGGGGATGCTTCATTTCTGTCTTTGTAGCTTCAGTGCCTAGCACAGTGCCCAGAACACAGTAGGTATTTAATAAATGCTTGTTGAACTGATTAGGCACCTTGTAGAAGTGCTTTCTTATTCATGTTTGGGTTGGAATTGGTGACCCCAGACTCTGATGATCTAGGATTCTGTGAAAATTTCAAGATAATTCCTTCTTTTCCTCTCCAAGTAAGTTTCCATTAGCTTTACATCAGTTGGCAATGCCTCTTTCATTGTAAAAACAATTGTGTTTCTCACAGACAGAGGACATGAACAGAACAAGTATTTGGAACCACACAAAGCTTTGTGGGTTTAAATTCAATTATAACATAATATATTTTATTATATAATTTTATATATTTTATTACATATTTACATAATATAATAATTATATAATATATAATATAAAATCAATTATAAAAAATTCAATTAAATTCAGGATTTGCTGTGCATCCTACTGTTTGATAAAATTTATGTTGCTTTACTGTGTCTTCAAAACATGTTGTAGTATTTCAAGTCAAAGATGATTTCCATAGCCCACTACAGAGATATTTTAGTTACTGTTTATCCCTCTCCCTGTCACCTAACCAAAACAAAATTTTGGCTACCGTAAGACTATCTCAAAGAGAAGTAAGCTAACAAATGGAATTTTATTGCTTATATGTCTTTTGGAAAATATATCTTATTGAGGGACCAAGAGATTACTTCCTTCAAAGTTAAAACAAACTAACAAAACAAAACAAAACACAAAACACTTATTCAATGATCAAGTATTTTGGGTGAGTTAATTTTAATTATATATATCCCTAGGTTTTTCAGACCTGATTTAATTAAAAGTCTAGGGCCAAAGATGGGTTAAGAGTTTTAAGAAGAACACAAAATCAACTTTTTAAGGCAGTCAGAATAGTCTTGCCTTAGAAAGAAATAAGATTTGACAGCAATTCACTAAATTGCTCCACTGAAATGATAGTGGATTGCCATGTGACATATATGTGCTAGCAAAGTACTCGATGAATTCTACCCCCATTCCCTCAACAAAAAGAAAACTGATTTTTAAAAAGGGGGAAATATATTTATATGTAAGAAATCAATTCAATGAAAACCTGATGACTGTTATTGCAAGAATTCACCTTTTCAAGGTTAAAAAAGGTAGTAAAACATTTTATGTCAACAGCTATAGCTAAAAAGCAAACTCCAAAACACAGTGAAGACTAAACATTAGGCTATAGGCCTTGGAAATGTTTGGATTCTTGACATCTAGCTATACAAGAACACGGGGAGAAAACAAGTGATTCTGAGCTATGGAAATTTTCCCTATCATTGCAGAGATAGAAATGGGTGGACTGCTTCTGTGTTTTCCATTTTGTTTTGTGAAATGGCATCACATTCAGGGAAAATATCAAATGAACAATGTAGGTCAGTTCTACTATGACTGGTTTATTTTGCCCCCACTGCTTCAAGTCCATGCAGTTTTAGGAACACCGAGCTCTGGTAAAATAACAGAATGTCTTTCAGAGCTTAATGTGAGGGTAACTGGTATCCAGCTGAATAAATAGAAGTATGGTAGAAGTACCCGTGATGAAATAATAACCCAGCAAGGACTGATACAGAAATAATGGAAAATATAAAGGACAACTAGAAATATAATCGCAAGAAATGCATTTAGTGAAACAGAAAATAGGATGCATATGGACAAAAGGTGAGTACTGATCACAGAAGCTGCAGAGGGATTTGTGAGCAGTTGGACTTCATGTCCTTCATCCAGGTCTCAGACAGCACAGAGAATGGATGATTTAAACTTTTTGACTCTTGCTTTAACACAAGATGACACTTTATATGAAAGTTAATGAATATTTGAGGGCCCTCTTTGGGAGGTTAGAGAAGATAAGCAAAATAGGTCTCATGTGATGTCCTAATATAAAGTACTATATTTAGAATAGTAAATTGAGCACAGTTCTGGAAGGACTCTAAAGTGATGAGCTTATTTATCTGATACCCAACGAAGAATAATTGCTGATTTTATCAGGAGTTACTTAAGGACCTTCCACCCTGAGATTACCCTCCAGGATGCTGGAACATGTTGAACTTAAAAACAAAGCATGGAAAATGCTTGCTATTTGGGGAAATGCTGGTGACTTACCCCACCTTACCACCTCCCCAAGGTATAATGACAGTAACTGCAATTTCTGTAGTCCCTAAGGGTTTCCAGAGGATTTTCTATATATGATCACATTGAGGCTCACATCAACCCTTTGAATAACTAAGGTTGGTACAGCCAGCTGCTTGGGGGGTAAGATTTGCTGTTATATAAGATGTGATTTTCTGACAGCTGAAATTCAAGCTAGTCATAAAGTGTAAATAAGGTGTTCCTCTATATGAAAGTCATTTTGCTAAAGTTGTAGCACTAGTGTTAATAACACAACTTCTTTATTCCAGTACTGCACTGTCCATCATCTGCTCTCCTGGCTTATTAACAATGACTCCTCAGATATGGACAGCACTGGTGATCCCACAAGGCATGATCTCGCATATTACACACAACTTGGCCAATGTAGATGAAGCTATATTGTAGTCCATTGTGGCTGAATATGGAAACAGTGAAGAGGTTCATCTATGACCCCATTACACTTTCACCAAAGCTACATGAGTGCGCTCTGACACCCTGACCATCCTCTCCAGAAACCTATTAGTCTTCAGTGTGTCTTTCTCAAAGAGGTTGGTCATTGGTACCAATGGGCATTAAAAATACAGAAACCTAACCCAATGGGAAGGTCTTTCGGTGCTGTCTGCTGAAAGTCCAATCTACTTGTGGGTAACCAACGGATTAACCAAGCTGCTTACTACTAGGATTCCCCTTCCCAACCTACCATTCTTTCCTCAGATTTTCTCTATACTACTGCCCAGCACTGTCTCAGCAGTCTCTAACACTACAAGGTAGGCAGGAGAAGGAAAAAAAAGGAATATTTCTATCAGAAGCACACCATTTTTATGTCTGAGTTCTTGCTCAGACCTTTCTTAAGTCGACTTCCTTCCCAAACAAAGATATTTGCAGGGGCAGAAGGGCACCACACACATTCGTGGTTTTATTTTATTTTGTCCCTTGAAAAGGGAAGTAGCAATGAAAATGATTTATTTAAAATATCAACTATGGAAAAAGCTCCTTGTAGACTCCAGAAAAAACAGCATCGCCCTCCCAATTGTGAAACGTGCAGAACTTTATTGACAAAGACTTCACTTCTATAAATAAGCCAAGGAGTGATGGGCAATTTCAGGTTTCCACATTCAACAGTCAAGTGATATATAATTACCTCCAGAACTGCAGCTGACATTCCTTCTGAAATGGAGCTATTCACGACAGCGAAGCAATTTTTCACAATGGCGTGAAGATCTTCTCGAGACATCTCCCCCATCAATTGTACCCCAGCTGCCCTAGAAATTAAGTAAGTCATGAACAGCATCTTCCTTGACTTTCTTACAGGGGTGAGAGAGCATGGGGAAAAGATACACAATGTTTTCTAGCCATAAGGAAACATAAATTATGGCCTATTCAAGGCAGCTGGTGGTACAGTAGAGAAGAGTGCTGGACCTGGAGTCAGGAAGACCTGAGTTCAGATCCAGACTCATACACTAGCTGTGTGACCTTGGGCTAGGCACTTCACCTTTACCTGCCTCAGTTTCCTCATCTGTAAAATGAAGATAACAGCACCAATCTCATAGGGTTGTTGTGAAGACCAATTGAGATAATATGTGTAAAGCACTAAGTACAGTGCCTGCCACATAGTAAGTGCTATATAAATGCTAGTTATTTGTTATTGTTATTATTATTATTATCATTATTCTTGCAGAGAAAGTTGCATGAAGATGGTGACCCAGATTTTTATTTTGGAAACCTCTTAGGCATTTCATTCTCTTCAAGTCCACATACAATGAGAGAGGTACAGGTCCAAAGTACCCCTGTGATAGAGAAGCTAAAGAAATCTCACATTCAAAGTCCAATTTCAATAGTTATCTTTTAAAATTAGCTCCTAGGACCCTCTGCTGCCATCTGTTCTGAAATATATGATGATAAGAGATGAACTCTGGCCTGTTGTCTCTTTGCTACTTTGAAGAAAGGCTAGCAAGGTTGTTTTGTCATTTTTCTCTCTTTAGGGGTGTAGTGAGGACAGTCCCCCTACCTTTCCACTCTGGCTTTCACTTCTCTTGTAAACACTGGATCAACCTGAGAGAAGGAAATAACGAACAGTCTGAAAAATGCCACACAGTGAATTGTCACATACATCTCTAGTCAGTTACTTTGTACACTAAGGACAGAAGAAGGTCTAAGGAAGGGGAAAGAGGCAGCTACTTTCTTGCATTCAAGTCAAAAGGGGCTAGTGCTCGATGCCCAGAAATCAGGCGAGTGGAAGTGAAACTGAACAATAAATAAATCAATCCATAAAGTCTTTCCACCCAACCAGAAGCACCCTCCAGGGAGGAAGGACCATGTCAAAAGAGTATTCAGCCACAGTCTGAAGCAAATGAAACCTCAAGGCACAACAGAATGTTTCAGCCAAGCCAAAATATCCATCGTGCAATGGAAAGGAGGGCTAAATTTGGAATCCAGAGGACCTAGATTCAAAGCCAGAATCTGCATATTTAATACTTGTGTGACCATGGGCTAGCTACTGTCCCCCTGTGGGCCTCATTTTCATTACCTGCAAAATCAGGGGCTTGAATTCTAAATTCTCATTCTAAATGATCATAATTCTAAAAGCTATGATACTAAGTAGATTTTTTTTTGTTCAATATGGAATCACACTGAAACTAAATCAACACTACTAGGATTTTTTCACTGCACAAAAGTTAAGTGAATTTAGTTGGATAGGTCAAAATGTAACCCTTAGCAGTTCAAAGACCAAAGATCGATCAGGCAAGACCAACACTGGATTTTCTTTTAAAATGGTGGTGGTGTTTTTTTTTTCTTTTAATTTTCTGTGACCAGGGTTTAAAAGCAATGCACAACTACATAATTATGCTTAGTCTGTCAGGGAAAATAATGGAATTGGCTAACTATAGGCCAGAGATCTTGACTTCCATTCAAGGTAAAATTCTAGAATGTGTTATCCTTTATTGGGAGGGATAACTAGAAAAGGCCACAGCTCGCAAAGCACAAATATGGTTTTATCAAGAATAGGGCCCAATAGACCAAGAAAAGATCATGCCAGACTAACTTCATTTCTTTATTTCCTTTTTAATAAGGTACTTAGTAAACTGACAGATCTAAGAAACATGGCAGAAGTAATTTACTTGGATTTTAGCAAAGCGTTAGATAAAATCTCTCATGATATCATATGGAAAAAGAAGACAAGATGTAAGCTAGGCAACAATACAATTTTAGATGGACTTAGAAATGATTAAACAGCTAGGCCAAAAGAATAATGGCTTTGTGTTGGTTAGGAAGGAGGTATCCAATCAAATTTCCCAGTGGTTTATGATCTGGTCTTGTGCTATTTAATATATATTTTTTTATTGATGACTTGGATAAAGGCATTGATGGCACGTTTATAAAATTTGCAGATGACATTGTTCTATTTCTGTTGAGGGCACCACCATCCTTCCAGTTATACAGGTTCATAATCTCAGAGATAGCATCTGTTCTTCACTCTCTCTCACCCTCCGCCTCTAATCAGATGTCAAATCTAGTCCATTCTACCCCCACAACATTTCCTCATATGCATCCCCTCTCCTCCACTCACACAGCCACCATCCTAGTTCAGACCCTCATTGGCCATCCCCTGGATTATTCCAATAGCTTCTTAATTGGTTTCCTCACCTCAAATCTATCCCCAAAAGTGTAGCTAGAAAACAGTTCATCCAAAAAGTACCTGGGAGTTATAGTGGACTGCAAGGTCAGTATGAGATGAGTCCACAGTGTGACTTAAACTTAGGCTGCATTAAGAGAGACCCAGTCCAGGAGTTAGAAAGCAATAGTGCTATTGTACTCTGCCCTGGTAAGAACACATCTGGAGTAGTGCATTCAGAAATTCTGGGTGCCACATTTTAGGAAAGGCATTGGTAAAATGGTCATTATCCATAAGTTGATGACCAGGATGGTGCCACATGAGGATGCTGAACTATGGATGTTTAACCTGGAAAAGGAAAAACAGGTGAGGATGGCAAGAGGGAGACTGTAGTCATGTTCATGCTTTATAAGGGCTGTCATGTGGAAGGACCGACGCAGTCCCAGAAGGAATGGGACCAATAGGAGAAAGTTGCAAAGAGGCAAAGTTAGGTTTGATATAAGGAAGAACTTCCTAAGAATAAGAGCTATCCCAAAGTGAAACAGCTACCTTGGCGAGTAGTGGCTTCTCCCTCACCCCAAGTCTTCAAGCAAGACTGGATGACCACATGACAGGCTGATGACAATTTTTCCAGCCCCAAAACTAGCTGGCCCAGGTGACTACCAAAGTCTCTTTCAAATCTAAAATCTGATGATTCTGAGACTCCCAATTTCAGATTCTTCTTCCATTACATATCCACAGATCAAAAGCGTGTTTTCAGAAGGATCTATTACAAAAACCACTTCTCATTCTCAAGACTAATTCATACAACAGTGCATTCTCAAACAGCCAAATTTAAAGTATGCAATTCCCTACCCTCCAAAAGCTTACTGTCTTGTCGGAGAGATAAAGCCATGTGAATACAATCTAATTAAGGGTGAGCTACCTGAATTCTATTACAGAAGACTTTCTAGGAAGTAATAAGAAGAAGATTACTGTAGCAAATGGAATTTTATCTAAATCCACAAGCATGTGAGAGCTTAGTGTCAAATGTGCTTAGTTAGTTCAATAACTGCTATCATCATTCTTGTGAACTCTCCAAAGCTTAGTAATAAAGATATTCCTTAATGCCTGAAGGCAATTTCTTTTTAAATAAAGGCCTGTCATTTTTCTCCCATTTCAACCAAATCATAAATACAATCTACCAATTCTTCTAATACTTTAGAACCTCACTAAAATTCTATTTGCTGAAGAGTCAAATTTAGCATAGGATATAGATCTCGTTCCCTGCATGTAGTAAGTTTACTTACTAGAAGTACAGAGAGAACTTAATTAAAAGACCTTTTCAACAGCAGCAAAAGTTCCACAGCACAAACCTCCAGGGCAGATTTCTAAACAGCATCCATTTAGCACATCTGACTCATCTAAATACTGCTAACTCTTCAGCATCATAACAGAAGTGGCCGCTTTTTCTCCAATAAATTCATTCCTTCTCCAGTTGTACTCAACAATGAGTACAACCAAAGACAAAAGTGAAGGCAAAATCTGTAAAGTGATGAAAGCACAACAGAAAATGCCACTCTCCTCGTGAAGGATGAGTGTGAATACGTTTAGCTAATACTCTATTTCCAGTACCATCTTTATTTTTATAAGTGATGAGCTGGTAATGCAATCCGAATAAAATCAACTCTCATCGACACATTGTACAGACAAGGAGTTTCAAATAAAGTGGTTGCAAAAGAGAGGAAGGGGGCAGCAAGGTGGCACAATGGATAGAGCACTGGCCGTGGAGTCAGGAGGACCTGAGTTCAAATCCGGCCTCAGACATATAACACTCACTAGCTGTGTGACTTTGGGCAAGTCACTTAACCCCAATTGCTTCATTCAAAAAAGAGAGAGAGGACAGCAGTTCAGGACAGAGAGAGAGAGAGAGAAAGAAAGAGACAGAGAGAGAGAGAGAGGACGGAAGTCCAGGAGTATAAACGCTAGACAAAATGCTGTTGTGAACTTCAAGTATTTCATGTCAGAGAAGATTCTCAAACAAGATGTGTAGCAGATATTTGGATTTGGTTTGGTTATTTTTTAAACTTGTGAATTTTCAGACAACTTGGGTGATAGGGCAGTTTGTGGTTTTTTTGTCTTTGTTTTTGTTTTTGTTTTTTACCTTGAAAGGCTGCTGAAGCGTTGAAAATTCATCTGTATTATTCAAATGATTAAATTGCTTTGGAAGCATAAAATGTGATAAGGTGAAGCTGTGATGCATGTGAAAGACACTTCTAGAAACTTTTCTCAAAAATTTTTAAGCCTAAGAACATTTTTGAAATAGTTCTGCCAAATTTACATAATAGGTTCATTAAAACTATGGAAAATCTACTCATCTGTTGCTATCCCATAACCCAGAGAGTTTATTTCACCCAATACTATTCCTCAGCTTTCTCCATCTGGAAGTGAAGGCTTTCATCTCCCCTAACTCAAATGCTACCAGCTCCATTTCCACTTTGCTAGTCACCACCTCTCCATACACTCTCTCCCCCTCCTCCCGAACTCTGTACCCCTTTTGTGACACTCTCCACCTATTACCTGCATCCTAATTATCTACCTTATCTCCCCACTTTACTTTGAAGCTGCTGCTATCCTATATATTGAGTAACCCCTTAATGTCCAGCACAGGGCCCTAACACAGAACAGGCATTAAATAAACATTTGGTGAGTGAGTAACTAAATGATTCAATCACTCACCTGACCAACCAATTTAGGGAAGACTTCCAAAGTCCATTATAAAATTGATCTGTTGGATCAATGGGTAAGTTAACTTAGAAAAGACAGTGTTCTGAATTGCAGGGGATTCTGTGAACTATTTTATGATTATTTCCCATTAATATTCATACTTTACTGTACTTCCTCACATTTATAAATGCTAGTACAGTGTGGGAACTGAGTCACTCAGCCAGTTACTTAGCATTTATGGAGCATCTACTATGTGCCAGGCACATAGGAGATACAGTTTTCACACTCATATTCTTATAGAGAACACATGAAAATAAATACGTGCGTGCAAGATATGTACAAAGTAGAAGGAAAGTAATCTCTGATCCTAAGTTTAAATAATAACAGAGAAAGACTTCCAACTCATATTCCACTCCTCCCTCTGATTAAACCATTACTTTTTACTGCTTCTTGCATGGTTTCCTTATCCTCTTCGACCTCTCCACCTGACCTCTTTGTCCTCAACACCTTCAAAATTACCATTACGTTTCCTGATTCCCTTCTTCGAAAGCAATAGGCTGAGGCTCAGGTGTGGGAAGTCCAAAGTCAGCTGAAGACAGCCATTGTTTTCTAGGCTCACTCCAAGCTTTTCTCCACTTTCTGGGGCCTGGGATGAGTCAACAAGTAGGGGCAATAATTCCGGCCAATTTCGGGCTCTGAGAACATACTCCTTCAGCCATGGGTACCACCATTC